TTCAATATCTGGCTGTGACTCTCCAGACTAATGTTTCAATTTACATATAAACAACCTTTGTGCCTCTTACTTTATGGACTATTCAGAAAGTTCACTGGGACACCTGAAACACTACAAACCAGAGAATTTTGTCAGATAGCCACGTTCTGCTCTTGCTCCAACTGAAGGTACTATGAGCCGACATCTAAAATCTTTTTGACTGGGTGCCCTCTGGACTCAAAAACTGAGTTTAGAGTTTGTTCTAACCATTAACATTTGTTTCTTTTGTTTCCATAGAAATGCCTCTTATTAAATATCCGATTGCTCAGGTATTTAATACAATACACACTATACAGACGCCTGCCTTCAATGGAAGCCCATCCACCACACCACTGCCTAAAATCAGACACAACGTTTAACCGTTTGACTGGACTGGCCTTTCTTGGAACTGAGAGAACTGATTCGATGGCTTATGAGACAATTCACCATCCCAATTTCTGGATTGTGAAACTTCTTTAGGAAGTTTCAGAGCAGGGAATGTTGGGGCTCAGAAAGCGATACCCCAAAGTGAGGACTTCAGAAGCAGCCTCCAAAGTGAAATTTTCCTCTGACCTTCTCCTGCCCTCCTGTCCCTCAGGCTCTTTCTCCCCTGAAGCAAGCCATAGAAACTAGAATCCCTCTTCCCCATCATCTCATAGATATACTCTAATCTTCCCCCCTGCCTCTCTGTCTTGGAGCTAGCCATGAAGAAATTCCCTGACTTACCTTGTCTGATTGTAGGTCATAAGACCCGCATTCCAGAAAGGGTCCTGCCCCATACCCTGGAGGAGTGAATGCTGCACAGAGAAGCCTTGAAGAATCTTAACAAATAGGCCTTGCTGGGTTTCTCCACTCAGTCTGTGAGCGTTAGATCATACTTTTCTTGTCCAATCACATTTCTACATGACTGTGCCTGCTTCATAGAACCTAAGCATAAATATGGACAAGTTTTCCTATATCTTTGGGTCTTCATTCTGAAGTCTCCCATGTCATATAAAACTATGATGTAACAAAATCTGTTATGCCTTTTCTTCATATTAATCTGTGTTTATCAGGCAAATTTTTTAGAGAACCTTAAGGGTGTTGAAGGCGATGTCTTCCCTTGATACCTACAGATGTATGCAAAGATACGGCTACCAGAATTTTCCTCACAAGTTACTTATGATAGCAAAAATTGGTAATAGTGAATGGTTAAATAAATATTGATATTTTGATATAATAGAATACTATATAGTTACTAAAAGTTAAGTTTTATGGAAAAACATTTACTGAAATAGAGAGATGTTCACTTTATAGAATATTAAATAAAAAGCATGTGCACAATAATAATCCATTTTAGTTTAAAAGAAATATAGACATGCATAGAGAAAAGACCAGAAAGCTACACCCTGAGATACTAACAGCACGTGTTATTTCTGGGTGGTGGAATTTCAGGTAATTTAAAATATTTTCTCTTTCTTTTCTTACATACATTTTCAAATTTTTATGCGTTTAACATGTAACAAGAAAAATATTCAAAGATTTTTTTTTAATAAAAAAAGATAATTTAAAATGACAAGTGTAAGGCTTAATGTTTGCATGAATACGGCAAGAGCTCATGGGAGGGGCCTTCCCCTGATTTGGGGCCCCATGTGAGCAGAGACTTTTTTGAAAAGAAAATGAACAGAGGCAACATCTCAACCACATCAGAGATGACAAGTCGCAGGTGCGTGTGCAAGTTCTGGTATTCATTAGAAAATCAGTCACATTACTTAATGCACCTAGAGTGTTTATCCAATCTCAAAAGAATGCAGAATATTTCTAACACATATGCAACTGATTTTCACTTTTCATTGCAGCTCTCCATCATCTATTTATTTATTTGTTTCTAACAAGTATGGTTAAAATTCTTTCACAATATTGTACAAGTAAATTTTTCCTTTTTTGTGCTATAGTGACTGCATTAAAGTTTAGTCCTTGACATATTTTGTGTATGTTAATCCAGAGCTCCTGAAAGACAGGAATGCTGTTCTATTCATCATAGTGCCCAGTATGCAGTAGGCACTCAACAAACACCAGTGAAAAGCATTTAGGGGTAAGCACCTATTCTCAACTCTTTTTGTTTTATTAGGACCTTTTTTCTTGGTCAGATATGTTAACACATGACTTCCTAGTGCAAAATTCCAAATTTATAAAAAGAAAATACATTCTAGTTTCCAAGACAGAACCTCTTACTTAGAGGGGAAATCCTTAAAATCTGAGTCATCAATTTTCCTTCTTTGAAACCATTTTTGTAGCACACCCAGAGCTGGGGACGTAGATGGAGCCTCCTCAAAGGACTTAATCCATCGCTCAGAATCAGTAACGCCCAAGCTTCACAGGTTCTTTGTATATTCTAATATCTTCATTTCTAAGGTACCTGTTGTTCATAATGAGCCCATTTCTTACCTCCAGTGCATCTAAAGGGCTCATTTTCAAATGGCACAATTTCCAGTGCCTGACACTTATAGCCAAGTCTCTATTTGATTATTAAATGAACAAATGGAAATGGAAGAGAGATAAATGAAAGAAACTAACACTGATTTACATAATGATGCAAAATACTAACTTTGTTGTGGTTTGAGACTTACAAACTAAGGGACAACTTGGAAAAGAATTCTATTTACATATTCAGACCAAACTCAAATACTTACTGAGGCCAGGCAGGCAATGTAATTAACTTGGAATAGTCTAGGCGTAAATGCACATGTGGACGTTTCTGAGTGGAGGAGAGGTGGCAAACTCTACCTCAAGGGGGCAAGGCTGACTCAGCTCCAGCCATTGTTGCCATATTGGAATGCAGGCCCAATTCTGCTAGTTCCTCCCATTTTTAAAGACAAGCTTGAAATCTAGTTTTGTGAAAACTCCAAAATTTTAAATACTGGCTCAAAATTTAAAGACAGACATACTATGTGTGTTTTGCATGCCTATCTGGGTAGTGGATTATAAATTTGAAACCTCTGATTTAAACTTTACTGTGTGTATTAGTCCATTTCTGTTGTTTATAACAAAATGCCTGGAGCTGAGTAATTTATAAGAAAACAAAATTTATTGCTTATCGTTTCAGAAGCTGGAAGTCCAAAGTCCAGGGAACACATCTGACAAAGGCTTTCTTTGGTGGTGACTTAAGTGATGGCAGGGTATCACATTGCAAAATAGTGGAGCAGGGAGAGATAGCTCCTCAATGTGCTCTCCTTTTAAAGCCCTCAGAACCATGCTCATGACCACCATTATTAATCCATTCACTACAGCATGGTGCTACAACCTTATCACTTCTTCAAGGCCCCGCTTTCAATTACCATAATAGGATTTCCCACCCTCAACAGTTGCAGTAGGGATTTAAGCTTCAATGAGGTGGGGGGACAGCTAGTCTACAGCACTGTATCTGAGAATATTTATCCTTAGGATATGTGTGTGTATGCTGTGCATCTGTGTATGTGTTCTGTGCTGTTGCTACGATAATTACCTGTGGAAACACAGAATAACAAGGAGGTAAGCCATACTGTGGGGAGGGATTTTAAGCACTGGGGCAAGTAAGTAGAAAAGTACTGGAGGATTTATTGCTGGGAGGAAATTGACCAAAGGGATGTGTCAAACACATTAAGTTCTTGTGTTTGCTAATTAGTGCTTATCAAAATTAGGTTCCTACCCTTCCACAGAAACTGGAAGATAGGGGTGCTATCTTCTTTGATGATCATATACCAAAGAAAAAGCTCCCAGGTCCTTAAGGGAGACATACATTCCTGGGTTGTAACACCAGCAAGTAGCTTTTAAAAAATATTTACATCTCAAAGAAGCAGAGAAAGAATTTACAATTCCAAGTTTTCTAAAGTAAACACTCTAAGAAATGGGAGGGGCTTAGAGTCCAGAACAAGACTGCTAAAGTTCGGTCGAAGTTGAGGGGAACGTTAAGGCTGTCTCAGTCATAAAGTTGCGGTGGATGCTGACGTTGAGCAAACTCTGCACTACACCCTCCTCACTGCCTAGTGCATCAGTAAACCACGGCATAAGCAATGGTGGTGGCTAGGTAAGAATTCTGTCCATTCAAGAACTCAGCGGAGAATCCCGTGCCGCCCCTGTAACTGCACCCCCCACCCCCACCAGCCCAGGGGACTCTGCCTGCCTAGATATCTAATAACAGGTGCTTATAACTGTATCAGTACCATGAGCTTTCACCAGCTACGCAACCTTGGACAATTTATTCAACCATCCTGAGCTTCGGTCTCTTCATTTGTAAATGGGCGTAATAAGTACACACTACACAGCATTGTGTGAGGAGTAAAACTGATCTGTGTATAGCACTCAGCACAGTGCCTGGCATACGGTAATGACTCAATAAATGGTAACTATCAATATTTCAGCCAGTTCTCACCTGTGCTATTATATTATTCTTACAGAATAATGAACATACTATGACACCAATATCAGTAAAATACACAGAGAAGGAAGAAAATAAGTTAAAAGACTTATGGCTTAAATCTATCAAAATTAGAAAAGATGAAATTATCAATGAGGCAGTAACTACTTCCAACGTGCCATGCCCCATTCTCCACAAATTTACCCTATTTTCTGTCCAACTTTCCTAATCCTGTTCCCTCAAACTTAAAATATTTTCCTACATAGATCTCAAATTGTCATGCTATTTAGCCCAAGGATGTAATGCAATTTTTAAAATTACAATCTTTGTTTTATTTCCTTTCTCACATTTATCACTTGTAGCATTTACCCAAAAAAATCCACGAGGGAGCTAATCGACTTTTCAGGAATCCTGTGCAAATTCTCTCCCAAAACGTTTTCCTTTGTTTGTATTCTGGTAGCAATTCTAAAGTTTTCAAGATCTGGACTCTGGTATTAGAATTGTGCTCAGTGGTCTGTTTCATCGTCCAATGAGCTCTGCCTGTGTGTCGATGTGACACTCCAGTGGAAGGAAGCCAAGAGCCTATAGTAGCGATCCTGGGGAAAATTTAAGCAGCTGTGGCCATGTAATTTAAAACCTCTGCAAAGTGTGCTGGGTCCGTGCACAGCATGAGTATAACATGAGGGCTGGATGCAGCCGGTTCTTGGGAGGACCTCCTCGTCCGCTGTAGGAGAGAAAAGACTGAAAGACAAACCTGGGTGCAGCCTGAAAGGTCCAGATAGATGAGCTTGTGGCAACCATTCCCTAAATTCAGGTACTGTAAACCTTTGTCCGTGAACCTTCTGCAGTAAGCCAAACTAAGATTCTGTAAATTGTGGAAGTGCCTGAAAAGACAGGACGAGAAAAGAGAGGAAGGAAAATGATTATACTTTAGTTGTTCTCTCACATCTTTTCTAAGCCACTATGACAAAGAGAAGTAAAACTGTAAATTAATCTTTTCTCTTTGCAGATATTCAACAGTTTAACTTTATTGTTACCTCTCTTCTTGTTTATTAAAGGAGATAGCAGGAGTGTATCAAACAATGCATATTTACATTTCATGTGAAAATAATTAAAGACTATTTGCCTAGATTTTTAAGAAAGTTGACTGGGATAAAGCTTTGGGGGGGGGGGGGGCGGGGCATTCATATTGTTTGGAAGTTAGTTTGCTTTTGAAGCCAAAGTTACAGAGTTTACTTTATTGTTGCTTTTAGATTTTATCTTTGGAGTACCAAAATAACATGCAAAATGTCTAGAAAACATTAGTAAACATTTAAGTGATTACTAACTGTTACATGAGAGTAAGGATTTGGGGCAGAAAGAAGCAAAACTGAACATAATAGGCTCTTAAAAATATCTCTGATAAGCAAATAGTTCAAAAAATTAATTTAAATATGCATGATTTTGTAAGTAAGAGTTTCATTATTATAGCTAAAGAAATTGATAAACAGAACTTAAACATGAGTTAAGAACAGTCTGCAAATGAGTGGGCAACACTTGAGAAGAATAAAAACTACATCAGAGGCCATCAGTCTCACCGGAGTTGAGACGGATTAAATATGGTATCACCACAATGACAAAAATGAGAACTCACAGAAAAGGAGGGTCACTAGGATGAGTCTGTACTACCATGCAAGGGCTTACATTTTGAGGACACTCTGTGGACAATTTTCCAAGCCCTCCTAAAAGCCTGGCATTTTTTAAAAGTGCAAGGACTCCCACTACTGCCTGCTCTTGTAATGGAACTAACAACAGCTCTTGGCTTGTGATCTGCAACAGTTTAGCAGCAAATTAGAAAGCAAAGAGAATGAAAAGTGAGGACAAAATGCCTCTCTCCCCTTCAAAAGCCCACAAATGAATAAATAGTAAAGTTTACCTTCACCTAAATGGGAAATAAGATATGCAAGCATTGACTGTTAATCAGATTTATCCGTACAATTTGAAAAACATATCTACATGATATAATGATTGCTATTTCACAGCAAATTACTTAATTGAGAACGCACATTTCTGTCTGGGAATGGCCGTGTGCATGAGATTCGAAGGAACCCAGAGGGAAGCCTCCGGCCTCCCGAGGGGCTGGGTGGGCGGAGCCTCGGAGCAGACGGCAGCACTAATTTCTGGGGCCCACGAGCGGACTAAGCTGTGTCAAAGTTTTGGAAATGCTTTGTCTTTCTGTCCCTGAGTGTACCTTTGATTCAGCTCAGTAAAGTACAGTTTTCTTGGGGTAGGAGTGGGAGTGTTATTTCTAACAATCCTTCCACTCTCTAATTTGGAGAATGGAGTAGTGAGGCAGGCAGCAACACACAATGAAAAATACACAGGTTTTGGAATCTGATCAAACTGGATTGTATCCTAGTCCTGACACTTACTGCAACTCTTCTGACCTCTTGAGGTTTCCCCATCTAAGTGGAAATGATAATTTTTTTTTTTACCCTGACCAACTGTATGGCCTCCAGCTTTCCTGATGTAACATGGATGTAATTCTGTCTGCTCTTTCCCTTTAGCAGTGTGACAATTAAAGGAGAATATAGATGTAAGAATATTATCTTGAGGGTGATTTTGACAATTAACATCAGCAGGGACATGGTAAAAGCTTTAAAAATATATGTATTGCTATTATTGCTACTACTACCCCAAGTAATGATAACACATTAATTGTTTTTATGGAGTTTGTACTTCCATGTAATGGAATAAATACTCATCTAAGAGTGGCACCTACAGATGATTCTGAAGTTTGGGTGACATCACATTGAGTCTATACCATGGTCCAAGCCTATTGATTGATTTCATTGCTTCCATGTGATTAGCTAAGAAACACCAAAAATGAGAATTGAGCTAGGGACTCTTAACTTTTTTGTGTCACAGGTATGTTTGGCAGTCTGGTGAAATCTATGGACATCTTCTCAGCATAATGTTTTTAAATGTGTAAAATAAAATCCATAAGATTACAAAGGCAAACAATTATATTGAAATAGATAATTATCAAAATATTTTTTAAAATCTGAATGGATGGAATAGTAATATATGTGCTTCTTTAACACAGTAAATAACAAGTCTAGTGTTATTTATAACTGCTGTGATTGTGAAGTATTGATTAGTATCAATAATATTTTGAAATATATATAACAACTGTAATGTGATAAGAATATATTCGGGATTTATATGTGCGAAAAAGTCCCAGGGACTGCTACTACTACTCTGATTTTTGCCTACATTTCAGTTAGAGTTTAGTGAAAATAGAGATGATTTTTTTCCCCATCAAAATTTATGGGACCCCTGAATTCCATCCCTGGTCCCCTTGGAGGAATCCATTAATGTCAAGTCAAGAACCTCTGGTTTAGACAAAAGAGGTTGCTTAAATGACACCTGAGTTGAAAGTCTCTGGATGGCTCTCTTCGAAGTGGAACCATCAGTTCCACCGGGAACCATCAGTTTGAAAGTACCGGGGGTCTTTCCAGGGATTTACAGTGCTGCAGACTTAAAGCTGCTAGGGATTAGAAAAGTATCAGTTAACAGTGAAATTGCATGTGATGAATTTATGCAATAATGATGCTTTTTATTCAGAATTTTGGCAAAGAAATGTGTCCCCTACATGAGTAAGATCTGATTCATCATTTTCCCAGCCCAGAGACCATTTGAGGCAGAGTGCTTACAGCATGTTTTTACCTTTTCCTTACTATTTAATAACTAAGTGTTTCTTATGTGGGGGGGGGGGGGTTCTCTTTTTGTGTTTATTTATTTTTCTGCTACTACTATAATTTTTAAATATTTACAGTTCTGTTTTTTACCCCCCATCGGCTGGCTGGTACAGGGAACCAAACTCTTGACCTTGGTGTTATAAGGCTGCATGCTAACCAACTGAGCTAACTGGCCAGCCCTAAAAAATTACAATTCTCATAGTAACTACAGAGATTATTTTTTTCTCCTTTTTTGGCTTTTTTCCATTTAAGAATTGAGGCCATCTGTGTTAGATCTCCAACACCTGAGAGGGTTACTCCTAGAAGGAATGTAAAATTACATATTTAAATTTCTCTGAAAAATCACCAAGACAAGGCCCAGTCTGTTAAAGAGGGAATTTGCATATGGATTCTTTTAAGTTGAATGTCAGGCTCTTTATTTTTACAGAGGCAGTTTCAAGTAGTAGAATTCTGCAGAAAATCTAAATGGAGTGGTTTGATTTCATATTTACAGGGTAGACCTTGAGTCGTCCAGTCAAAACAACAGCTTATTCTGTCTGCCCCACTTTGATGGGCATTGGTGAGAGTGTCTAATATGATAGTCCCTGACAATAAGAAATTAACAAGCCAATTAGAGAATCAAATCATCTATCTGAAAAATAAAACCATTCCACTATAGCATATAAGCCTACATTAAAGAGCAAAGATCATAATATCAAAGAGAAGAACATTCCACGCACAGAGAAAGTGAGGCATGTAGTGATCAGATGACCATAGTTAAGGGCTTCTCTTGGGAAACCTGGGCAGGTAAGTTTGATTGGGTAATGTTGAGTGACAGTAAGGGAAGAGTCTAGATCTTAAGCACGTCAAAGGCATGATAAGAAGATTGTTCCAGGATGATACTTATTGTAGCCTGAGGCAGAGCAGACAGAAGGGGAGACGTGAGGTGGAACCAGCAGGATGCTGTGCCAGTTGAGGCACTGAGAATGCCACCTACGTTGTAGCAATAGAAATAAACAGAAAAGACTTAATTCAGGAAACATTTAGAAGCAAAAAAAAAAAAAAAGTCCTAGAATGGGCATGAGCTGAGGGCAGTCCTCATTTTCAACTTTAGAAAACTGAGCAAGCCCCCAAAGACGTGAGGAAAAATATTCAAATAAAAAACTGTCAAATTGATGTTGCCAAGAAGGGCAAACAAATTACATTTTTCTTTTGGCAAATGATTTCTTTGGAAAAAAATACTAAGGGCAATGAAGAGAGAATGACAGCAGCAACAACCAACATTTCTCTGGTTATTTTTAGTTTAAAGAACAGTATTGCATAACAAAGCATATTTGAAACAATGGAAAACCGAACAAAAATAGAGAATCATTATGAACTGTATTTTTATCATAGATAAGTCCATGTACATTTTTTTAATGTGGTAAAAAATATCAATAACATGGAGCACCTATCCTGAATATTCTCTCAGTAGCAAGAACTAGAAGTTAAAACAAAATTCTTATTTTGGGTCCCACTTTTCCATCTGTTGTTCACTAAAGCTTCATTTGTAAAATAAATGTGCCTAAAAAGTTAGGCATAGCTGTGGTGTCACATTGTTTCCTAGGAGAAAAAGATATCTTAAAGAATAGTTGGAAAAAAATATGTTTTAAGTTAAAAAAAAAATTGTGATGTGATATAAACAAGTCCCAAGTCATCTACTTTGTATGTTCAGATTCTCACATATGGGTTTATGGATTTTATAATATTCCCTCTCTCTGTCCCCCCTCCATATATATATGTGTGTGTGTCTCTCCATATATATATATGCACAAACACATACACACGCACACACACACACACACACACACACACACAAACAAACAAGGGATCTTCCAAAAGTCCATGGAAAGATTCGTATTATGTTTAATTCTATTTTCCACAAACTTTTTGAAGTACCTTCATATACACACATACATGTACATATATTAATATACATAGCACATATACTACATGTATATTTATATATCTTAGGATGGAATGCCTAAAGAAAGTACTGAATGATATTCTATATCATGGTCTTGGGGATCCTCAGGGGCCTCCCACAGTGGTGTCATTGGAGTTGGCTTGCAACAGCTCATGAGAATCAATTGTTAGCATCTGTTCCCAACTCTGCCCTCAATGATATCATGCTGATAGCTTAAAATCGGCCATAGTGGAATTATTTACACCCCAGAAATCAGTAAACCCTACAAATCAGAGGTTCCCCCTAGCTCCCCACCCCAACCAGTTGCTAAACATTTACCAGAACACTGCTGTCCTTGGAACATACTTTAAGAACTACTGATATAAAGAAAGCATTACGCTAATGGGAATTGATAAGACAAACCTCGAAAAAATGGATAGAGGCATTAAAAAGAAAAATGTCTTCCTTGGCTGAGAAAAAATTTTAGTTTTAATGTTCAAAAGGCTTACCATGTTCCAGGACAAATTAATTGAAAGAATGCAATTAAGCTTGGAAAACGTCCTTAATTTCTCAGGGAAAAGGAAAATCTTACAAGCATCTTGGCAGGAAAAAATAAGCTACCAACAAAGGAACAAAAGATCATGCTAGCTTTGGACTTTTCTTTAACTTGAAATATCAAAGTTTATGAAGCAACATTTGTAGGGTTTTAAAGATAAAATAAAGGACGTTATTCAAGAACTATATTAAGTTGTTGTTTATCCTCCAAGATAATAGTTATTTTCAGAGACTAATGGCTGAAAATCTAACACTCATGCATCTTCCCTGAAAAAGAGTTTTCTTTCCAGTTGTCATAGTATAAATCAAAATCAAGACTGAAGAGTAAGAAAAGTGTGGGAAAAAAGGACAACCAATGAATGGCCTAGAGTTAGAACTACATGATCATTGTAAATATGATTACAGTATTGAGGAGAAACACTAAAAATCAACGTTAAAAGGAAAATTAAATGATTAGCAAAAACCACAATTAATATGTTTGTTCATGTAGGGGAGTGGAAGTAGGGGTGTGAGTGTCAAGTTCAAGGGAGAAGGTAGAGGGAGAATTAAAATGTATCAGATCTCTTGTCCAACACAGGAGGAGCCAAAAGTCATTGTTTCCTCAGGACTTTGATAGAGAAAGTCATGTCAAAGCATGTTTTTAAAAAACATACAGCTTGGCACAGAAAGAGGAATACTACATGTCCTCTCTCACAAGTGGGAGCTAAAAAACTAAAATAAATAAGTAAACAACAAAAAAAGAAAGATACAACAATCACAATAATTTGTTGAACTTTCAAAAGGATGTACAAAACTGAGGCCAACAGAAGTGTGAAAGGGGGAGGGGAAGGTGGGATTAGTGAGAAATTTGTAAAGAGCCACAAAAAAATGACTACAATGTGTAAGGTTTGAATATACTAATTATCCTTAACCCTGTATCCCATAGGTATATACAATCAATTAGGTATCGATAAAAAATAAAAAATAAATAAATAAATAACATACAAATGTCCACTGGTTAGAACACACAACAGAATGTGTACATACTTTCAAATATCTTCAGAGTATAAAAGTAAACAACATAGTTCATATAGCAAAAGACAGAAATAGTGAGTATAGAGCAGTAACATAAATACAAAACATAAAAAGTTATAATAAAGGGCCGGCCCGGTGGTGCACTGCTACAGTGCGCCGCTTGGGAAGCATGGCGGTGCTCCCGCCGAGGGTTCGGATCCCACATACAGACCGGCCGCTCACTGGCTGAGCGAGGTGCGTGTGCAACACCGAGGGTTGCGATCCCGTTGCCGGTCCGGTCCGGTACGGGCGCGACACTGAGGGTTGCGATCCGTTGCCGGACATGAAAAAAGACAAAAAGGAAAAAAAAAAAAAGTTATAATAAAAATAAGACCATATGCTCATTTTGACAAGAAATATTAATCTTTCAAACTGTCCTCTTAGCAAGGCAAAGAGAGTGAAAACTTAAAAGAAATTAGATACATGCTGCATATAAAAGACGAATCTAAAATCCTGTGATACAAAGGTTAAAATACAGAGATACAAAAAATTATTTCACAAAAAGTGCAAGCAAAAGAAACAAAGGTGACAATATTAATAGCAGATAAAAAAGAATTCAAAGCAAAGAAACATCAAGCAGGATAAAGAATATAATGAAACATGATACTTATAAATCTTTACGTCTAAAATAACATCAAAATAAAATAAGGGAAGTTTACTATAATAGGCAACTAATATATCACTATTATACTATGACATATCGAGAATTTATATGTACATACGTCTATATGTACAGAATTTTGTTCTCTAAAAGAAACTTTCTTTGTTTTAAGCAGTCATGGATGATTTGCTGAAGTTAATTATAAACTAGTGCACCAAGCAATCTCAATAAAGTACAAAAAGTAGAAATAATTCAGTCCACATTTCTTGACTACAGCACATAATTAAAAACAGAAGTTTAATCATAGAAACTTCAACTACTTGGGACAAAAAATTCTCTTCTACATAATTATTGGGTCAAAGAGGAAAGAAAATATAGAATAATTTGTTTAGAAAATGAAAATAATACTCATCAAATCTTAGAAGCTTTGCCCAAATTCTTATTTAGAAGTAATTTCATAGCCCTAATTTTTAAGAAAGAAATCAATAAATCATTCTAGTGAAAAGTTTAAAGGATACCTGCATCTCATATCCAAGTCCAAAAATGACCATTTAGTAAGTATAATGAGAAAATATAATCAGAAAGAATACCACTCACAATGACAATTAAAAAGTTACCTAAGAATAACTTTCACAAAAATTATCTATATGAATAAAAATTTTATTGAGAAACTTAAGAACTTTGAAAAATTTTTTTAGAAGTTTTACTATGTTCCTGATATAGAGATTAAATATTGTAAAAATATTAATTATTTTACCTTTATTATTGGTGTGCTGGTGAATATCTAACTGGCTCCAAAAAAAGTATTCATACAAATGTATGTAAGTTAACCATAAAATTTTACTATTTTACAGGTATAAAGGATATGTAATATACAATTTAGATATAATAATAAAATGCACAATACTCTTTATTATAAATTCCATATAGCCAATTGATTCTCACATAATGCTTTCCTTGGCTTTTGCCAAACTTATAAATGTAGCCAGTGAAACCAATGGTTGCAATTGAGGAATGAGTATAGTTCCATATGGTTTGCATTACATTCATTTATATTAATAAGACAAAGATGTGTGTCCAGACTTCACACATTTGTCAATAACATAAGTACTTTCTTTTTTTTTTTTAATCTTCTTCCTGGCCTCTGGCCAGTGAGGGGATCCAAACCCTTGATCTTGGTGTTACAAGCTGTGCTCTAATCAATTGAGCTAACTGGCCAGCCCCTAAGTGTCTTCTTTGCTGAATCAGATAATAGTTTTCAAGTACAGAAATTTTTTGTGCTACTCACAATGTTGAGGCTACAGACATGACACACTTTTAAATTTAATCTGCCTTCTTAAGTGTTTTCTCCACCATTTTCTCAAATCTAAGCAGTTAACAAAACAATAAATCAAGCCCTCATTTATAGTGTTGGCCATTTTTCATGGTGTGAAATATTCCTGTATTGGCTGAGCCCAAGCTACCAATGAGAGGTCCCCGAACATGGAGCTGGGAAGAGACAAGCATTAGCACACCCTTTTCTGTAGCATTTTCACACATGGATACCATAGACATAAATATCCTCAAGAACCTAGATAAAGTAACATGTAGAAAAATATTAAAAAGTGACAAGTTTTGAGTATTTATTGCCTATATAAGAATTTTAGATATAAAAGGAGGAATCACTTGATGAAAAGTTTACTCAATAAATGATGCTGGAATAATTGGTTAGCTAACAATGCTTAAAGCATAAAACTATTCTTAGGTTGTGGACAGGACAAAAATGGGCCTCAGGCCTCATGGGTCATATTTTGCTGAGCCTTGGTTTATATCACTGCTTTATTCATCTACCAAAATAAATTCTAGATTAATTATATATTTAAGTAAAAAAAATGCAAGAAAAAAGTAAATGTATATTAAATGCCTGGAAGGAGGAAGAGCAAAGTATCAGAAAAAATTTCAAAGGGAAGGTTTGATAGATTTGACTAAATAAAATGCAGCAGCTCAATTAATGGGATAAACAGAAAATATGGTGCCCCCTTTTTGGGGCTCGCACATCTGCTGAAAATGGTTAGAGTCAGAAGAGAAAGAAAATTACCACCCATAATTTTCTGTTTAAGTTTTTCCAAATGTCTCACTGTTATTTTTCAAAGGATCTCAAAAAGTTATATTCTCAAAATAGTTCATTCTTTCACAATTGTTTGAGAAATATTTTCCCAATGTCAGATTTGAATCTCTCCCAATACGATCATATACTCTTCCTGATTAGTCTTCCTGTAGTGAAAATAAAGAATGACAAATTTGTGATGAATTTGAATATTCTGTCAATCCTGTGTTCTTCTGTCCTTCTTCCTCCAAAGAAGGGCTGGCTGAAGAGAAACAATGTTTGCATCTAGAGTTGTCAGCAGTCCCTAAACTGTCAAAAAAACGACCAGTGTCAGGTTCCCTGGAGGTGGTAGGGATCTCAACAGGTAGCCAGAGCATGGGAACAGGGAATCAGGATGGCAGTGCTTAAAGTCTAAGGGAGGTGGGATGTTGGCGTCCTATTGAAGAGAGGTCCCAGACTCAAGACTGGAATTTAGGGGCCAGGCCCCAATGCCAGGAAGGTGGACCAGAAGAGACAGGCGAGTTCTAACTTAAGTTACTGGGCACATTGCTACGAGTGACAAAAATGCTGGCCAAAGCTGAAGACCAATTATTCAAAATGGGATCACCAAGTAGGGAGAGTGCAGGTACCAGCCTGGACTTGAAAGCAGCAATCCCATTATCAGAGTAGCGGGACCACAGTGGGTGCCGGTAAAGGGAGCATTGCCTTTGGTGATGAGGCGAAGAGCAAGAGCCTCCTGGAGCATAATTATTTTCAGTGTAATACAAATAACAGAAGCATTACCTTGGCAGGAGTCGCATCGTCCTGTTGGTGATAGCTGTGTTAGACAGATTGAGGTAGAGGACCCCTGGGCAGCCCTCAGAGATGTGTTTCATCGATTCGTCCTGCATAAAACATAGAGGGAAGAATCCTATCAAATTCTAACAGGCTGTGCAATTTCCCCATTATCTCTCAATCATCTCTCCTCCTACCCCAGAAAAAATACACGCAAGAGTTGGTCTCTTCATATTCTTTGATATTAGTTGAAATCAAATTAAATACTCATAGAAGCCAATGGTTTTGCTTGAAGTTTCATTACTTTCTCCTCCCTTTCTTTGGAAATGAAGTCTCATTCCATCACAATGACACTTCATTAAAACGTGAACCCTTACAAATTCAACTCTGTAACAGGAAATTTAAGCTCACGTGTCAAAGTGTCAAACAATCCTGGCTCTTCAGAAGCAGGAAAGTGATTAAAAACTGATCCATTTTTAAACTTACTAACATCATTCTGAAAGACAGGAACAGTAAGTGCTCTTAACAACTGGACTTCAGTAAAAGTAAGTTCATAGAATTAAAAGATAATACAAATCTTTCCATGAACTTTTTGAAGTACCCTCATATACAGGTGTGTGTGTATAATGAAGTTTCTGTGGTGCTGTTACTAAATATATTAAAGTAGCTGAACAGATTTTCATCTCAAATTTTGAGATTGCCTGCAGTAAAATATAGGCTACATACAAGTTGGGCATGAAATTCTGTTGGGGTTAGGGTGGGAGAGAATCCCAAAGATCCAAGCAACCTTCCCTCAGAGAGCTAAAACTAAGATAGGAGAAGGGTGTGATTATGACACGAGAGACAGAAGGATAGCGACTTCAAGCATGGGCCCTATATTGAAATTTACAAGGCCAGATGAATAGTAAGTTCTGATGCTTCTCGTGTGATGCTTCTCGTATGTGTAACTGTATAGAAAATAGATTGAGTAGCAGCAGGTTTTTATTTATTTAATGATGGTTGATGAATCTCCCCAGGAACACCAACAGGTAAGGCAGTTTTAAGTATTTGTGGTTCACGCAATATTTAACACGACACAGGTCCTGAAAAGAATAGGCCATTGCAAGTATTTGCCTGGAAGAGATAAATTATCATAAAGCTAGGAGATGTGGTTTGGAAAAGAATTCTGCGTGGTCAATAGGACCACCTCTAACACCATCAAGGATGGCAAAGGTCTATTTTCAGCAGGATCATTGATGTTTAGCATTCCAATTCCTCGCTATTTCCAGGAGTCATGGACATTTAAAATAACACAATCCTGCAGGTCAGAGCATCTGCAGCACTTAGATAGGAATTGGTTGATGTATAGGGACAGCAAACCATACCTTAAAGAGAACACAAGTTTCTATTTTAAGTTGTAAATGTCTGTTATTTTGCTATAGAAAAGGTTCTGGGCCGGCCCGGTGGCGCACTGGATAGTGCGCCACTTGGGAAGCGCAGCGGCGCTCCCGCCCGAGGGTTTGGATCCCACATACAGACCAGTTCCTGCTCACTGGCTGAGCGAGGCACGGGGGCAACACCGAGGGTTGCGATCCATTGCCGGACACGGAAAAAAGACAAAAAAAAAGAAAAGGTTCTATGTGCTGTTGCTACATGAGTGCAAGTGCAGGGCTTTTGATAAACACTGTATTCTTACTACTGCATTCAGGTTGCCAGCAATTTTTCTAGCTACTCCATCAACAAAGTGTAGGATCTGGATATGCATGGATGCATAAAAAGTGTATACAGTACAATTTTCCTGAAAAGAATGGAAAGAACAACCATAATGTGTGGCATTGTACTTTCATACACACAAAAGCTGTCTTCAAAAATGTTCAGCATGCCAAACATGCATCAAGGTGATAGTGCACTTGTTTGTTCAGACCTTGATGAGAAGACATAAATGCAAAAACTATCTGATTGCCTACATTGCAGAATGGCCAGTGAATTTGTTCACAATGTACTCAATCCTTCTGAGTGTAATATATTTCGTAAGACAAGCTTAGAAATCAAAGTTCTTTGAATGAATTTTCCCCAACTCCTTAAATGTAAGCCTGTCTCTCAGTCTATGTCCCAAAGGGAAAAGCAATAGTAAAATGTAGCTGTATAAAATTATCAGCCCTTCATATTGTTAGAGTCCAAAATTGGACAAGACTTTGATGTTCACAAATTCGATGCAGATGGCATTGTTTTGACTTCCCTATTGAAAGCCAAATTCGAATATGATCTTTTACTCAAAAACAGAACTGAAGCTCCCTGAGGGCAAGAACTGAGAATTTATTCATTTTTAAATTCTCTCTAACCCCTAACAGAATATCCTTAACATAGCAGGTACTAAAAATATCCACAAAAAGAATGAACCCATTTAACAAATGACCTCATTATAACCACAGGCATACATCTGGAGAACGTGGTAGTAAAAGTTTTAAATTTCTCTAATGAAGGAGCCCCTGTTCACTTTGCTGATGGAGAAAGTTAGACTGCAACCAGAGAAAGTAGGACATTTTTTCTCTGATGTGGTCTTTGACATGTCTATGCCTCCGTTTCTTGTGGGCCACCCTTTTAAACATAAAGAAGCAGCTTGTTTATGTTAAAGTATAAGCCCCTGGGAAGATGTAGGCTTTCAGATAGTTTTTGCACTTATGTCTTTTAGTATTTGGGGATTGAATCTTGAGTTCTTTTTAATATTACTGAGAATATTACTGAGTTTGGATGTTCTAGCTCCTCTAGACAGGAAAATGCAGAGAAAGGATCGCCTTCTTATCTCAAAGGGAAAGTCAGGTTCCTCTATGGTACATAAGGGTCTCCAAGATACAGTAACATTAAGGAGCTCTGACTTTATCCAGTAGAGTAGATGACGGGAGCATGTGCAGTTCATGGAAGATGGGAGCGAAGTGGTCAGATCTAACTTTTAGAAAGAGTATTATGAGCTCACAGGGTAGAAGACAGATTGGGGCCAAGGGAAAGACTGGAGACAGGTACTAGAAAGGAGCTCGCTAGGGATACATGTTCATTTCCATCTTTGGCACAGTGGTTGGTAGCCATGAAAACACTAAAATGAAACCATCACCCCTACTGGGGCCAAATTTTTTCAGTCTCATATTCACAGAGCATTAAATATAAATACAGTTCATTTCTGTATAATCGTTGAAGAGTTTCCACTTGCCAGAGGCTTTAACCTTGGGCATATATCTACAAGATTAATAATAGCGTTGTACAGATGGGGTGAAATTTCTTGCTTATGTTCAGCATAGTTTGCTTCTTCCCACATTTAATCCGCAATGAGCACACAAGCATGTATTCTAAGTACTGGCACTCCAAAGTGCCAAGTCTGCATCTACCTATATAAACAACAGTAAAATAAGCTGCTTTTCTACTCACCGTGAGTGTTGGGCAGTCAGAGACATTCAACTCTTGCAAGTTTTTACAGTGGCCTAAATCAAAAAAGTTACACATCACTATTACAAATGTTTAAACTTAAAGTTTATCCATCCCACGTTCAATGTGATATATTCATTAGAAAACAAACAAAAATCTTGGCAAGTAACATGTTCTAAGTATATGGTTCCTTTTCCCAGAAAAACCATTTATTTTGGCTTCAAAATTAAAATACATACACATGTTTATTATTGTTTGAGGGTTACAAGAGGAAGGGGAAAAGAGAAAAACACTACTTTGGGAAAAACTGCATACTTAGAACTTTTGGCTTGCAAGCATTTGAAGAAAACCAACCTGCTTTTTTCATGCATGTGTTTTTTGTTTCCTTTTAATGTTTTATTATGAAATTTTTCAAACATATATAAAAATTGAAAGAATTGTACCATGAATACCTATATAGCCACCACCTAGATTATAATTTATATTTTACTGTATTTGCTTCAACACATGTCTACTCACCCATCCATCCCTCAATTCATCTTATTTTTTTATGCATTTCAAAGTTGCAGACACTAGCATACTTCCCTCCAAATACTTCAGCATGCATATCATAAATAATTCAGCATGTATAAAATAAACAAATATATTTGTTATGGTTTTTTAGTTAGATTTATACACAGTTTACAATAAGTTGCAGACAGAGAAGTGGAGGGTCAGAAAGGCTGAGTGCCTGATTAGTTCTGGGACCAGAGGCCACTGCACAGCTTATGGTCTTTCAGGGAAGAAAAAACATGTACACCAACAGCTAGACAGCAGACTGCTACACAAGCAGTGTCCTGAATCAGGACGGACCGCAAGTGAAACTCCAAATCTGAGACCAAAGAGAAGCTTCTATGCGAGGACACACGACCAGTGAACGGGAGGAATGCGGGAGGCAAAGAAAGGTGAAGGCAGTCTAGGTGGGGGAGACCCCATGAAGCAGGAACACTCCAGGCAAGGGGGTGATCGGAGGTGATCCTGGCATTCAACTGTAACCTGGGCTCCAGGGTCTCCTCAATACCCAGGCGCTCGCCACCACTAAAAAGTTCGAAACGGGAAGTGAACCGGTCACAACTCTGTTCTGAGCTTCTGTTGATGCGGGAAGCGGTAGGAAGTCCATGAAATACTAGACTGTCCTCAAATATATTGCCTGAAACAGAAACAGGGGCCCCAGAGATAAACTTGCTGCAGTTTAATGCTAAAATCTACACTGGGATCTGCGCACCTACCTACCCTGTTTTATGTCATGGGTCAACCACAACAGGAAGTCTTACTTTGACACCTATGGACTATAAACCTGTACTAGCTGAGGGCTCAAGGCTTAGCTCGTGTGACAACTTCCTGAGGTCCCACTGTTGCCCAAAGGCCACATTCCTTTTCAGGTCCAAATGCAAATTTGTCTTCACAGTGAACTATGTCCCATAGTCAACTAATCCAAACTGAACAGCTGTATCCTTTATTTACATGAGAGGACCTTCTATGGGAGCTTGGGCAGGAAGTTAGGTGGGGATTTGGGCTATATGAGACAACCCCTTTCCCTTGTTTGGGGAGACACTGCTCTGGGAGCAATCCCCAGTGTTCACCCTACTTGCAAGTAATAAAGCCTTCTCCTCCTACCCTGGTCTTGGCAGTTTCTCACTGTCTGAGGGATGGACCCCCATAGTCTGGTAACAAAACTGCTACAATGAATAGACTGCACATCTGGTACTCATAACCACATAGCCCCACACAGATGTGTTATTAGTCTGTTTTGAACATTTCTTCTTTTGCCAAGAGTGGACTATGTCCTAAGTGATAAACGCAAACCAGGAATACTTCAGATTTTTTTTAAAGATGAAAACAATTCTTAAAAATGTGCAGACTTTGCAAATCATCAGTAATATTTAAGGAGAAAATGGATTCCCAAAATAACATAAATTTATGAGGGAAATATTCTTATAGAATAGTTACCTGAGAGTAATTCATACATTTGACAAATATTTATCAAGGAAATACAGCAATTAACACAATAGACAGAAATCCTTGTCCTTATGGTATTTACTTTCTAGTTGGGCGAATATGACAGTAAACAAAAGAAGTACGGTATCTACTTTGAGATGGTGATAAATGCTATGGAGAAAAATAAAACAAGAAAGGGGATCGTGAGCACCCAGTGAGTGGAAGGGGGTACAGTTTTAAATCGGGCCAACAGAGAAGGCTTCACTGAGAAGGTGACATTTGAGCCAAGATGTGCGGTAGATAACAAGATCAGTGCTATCTACTCTGAGCATTCCTGGAGCCAACTCTCAACATGCTGACTGAGAGACAGTAAAGGAAAGGAAAAAAATAAGCCCAGGAGGACAGTCGTTCAAGTCTTACTCCTGTCTGCACATCTCAGGGCTGTCATTGTTTTAATTCAATTTGATGATGGGCTATAGGTTGCAGTTTTCATCATGCTGAGTCCTAACATTTGTGGCATATTCCTGGGCCAAGCACTGTGAAGTGTCCTACGTGCATGAGCCCAATTCATCCTCCCGACAATATTAGGAGGTATCCTGGGTCCCCATTTTACAGATGCTGAAGATGAGGTTAAATTACTGGCCTAGTGCTGCACAGTGAAGCAGGGCAGAGAGCCTTGATTCAAATTCAGGGAACAAACATTTGGCCACTAAACCAAGCAAATAACAGGGTGAGGAGTCTTCTACACCCCACTGTTCTGTGAGCACCTGTATTATTTTTTTAAATTTATCATTACACAATGTAAATACTCTTTGTGTTCCTTTACCAATTTCTCCCTGCCTGCCCCCACTTCCCACATCTGGTGTCCTCAGTTCGGTTCTTTCCTTTTGAGAGTTCAAGAAATTATTGTGATTATTGTATTTTTCTCTCCTTTTTTTTTCCAGCTCCCACCTATGAGTGAAGACATGCAGTATTTCTATTTTTGTGCCTGGCTTATAATTTTCTCTAAGGTCATCTATGTTGCTGCGAATGGCAGAATTTCATTCCTTTTTATGGCAGAGTAGTATCCAGTTGTGTATATACACCACATTTTCCTCATCCGGTCATCCACTGGTGGACATTTAGGTTGGTTCCAACTCTTAGCTATTGTAAATAGAGGTGCGATAAACACGGGAGTGCAGGTGTCCCTTCAACATGATGATTTCCATTCCTTTGGGTATACACCCAGTAGCAGGACTGCGGGATCATATGGCAGTTCTATCTGTACTTGCCTGAGGAAACTCCATACTGTTTTCCATAACAGCTGCACTAATTCACACTCCCACCAACAGTGCAGGAAGGTCCCTTTTTCTCCACATCCTTGCCAGCATTTGTTATTCTCTGCCTTTTTGATACTGGCCAGTCTAACTGGCAAGAGATGATATCTCAGTGTGGTTTTGATTTGCATTCCCTGATGCTTAGTGATGTTGAGCATTTTTTCACATATCCGTTGGCCATTTGTATGTCTTCCTTTGAGCAATGCCTATTCAGCTTCTTTGCCCATTTTTTAATTGGGATACAGGTTTCCTTACTGTTGTTTTAGTTCATTGTATATTCTGGATATTGATTCATTGTCAGATACATAGTTTGTGATTTTTTTTTTCCATTCTGTAGGTTGTCTTTTTATTCTGTTAACTGTTTCATTTGCTGCACAGAATCTTTTTAGTTTGACAGAATCCTATTTGTTTATTTTTCCTTTCGTTGCCTGTCATTTGGGGCTCTTGTTTATAAAGTCTTTGCCCTGTCCTATTTCCTGGAGTGTTTCCCCTATGTTTTCTTTTAGTAGTTTTATAGTTTATATAGGGTGTTATATATAAGTCTTTAATCCATTTTGAGTTGATTTTGGTATATGGTAAGAGGCACGGGTCCAGTTTATCCAGTTTAATTCTTCTGCATATGGATGTCCAGCTTTCCCAGCACCACCTACTGAAGAAGCAGTCCTTTGCCCATTATATGTTCCTGTTGCCCTTTATCAAATATCAGTTGGCTGTAAGTACGTGGGTTGAAATTTCTGGGTTCTCCATTCTGTTCCACAGGAATGAGCATTCGTTTTTATGCCAGTACCATGCTTCCAGCTTTATTTTTTATTTTTTTATTTTTTGCTCAGGATTGCTCTGGCTATTTGGGATCTTTTGTTGTTCCATATGAATATTAGGATTGTTTTTGCTATTTCCATGAAGAATGTCATTGGTATTTTGATGAAGATTGCATCGAATCTGTAGATTGCTTTGAGTGGTATGGACATTTTCATAACGTTAATTCTTCCTATCTTTACCATTTTTTTCTGTCCTCTTTATTTCAGCAATGATTTGTAGCCCTCATTGTACAAATCCTTCACCTTCTTGGTTAAATTGATTCCTAGGGAGTTTTTTTTGTTTGTTTGCTTTTGGGGTTTTTTTCTGTTTGTTTGTTTTGTTTTGTTTTGTTTTGGTGGCTACTGTAAATGAGCTTGCTTTCTAGTTTCTTTTCTGTAGTTTGTTTTTAGAGTATAAAAACACTACTGATTTTTGCATGTTGATTTTGTATCCTGCAACTTTACTGAAATCATTTATCAGCTCTAAGTGCTGTTTGGCAGAGTCTTTTAGTTTTTTCTCTCTATATAGGATCACATTATCTGCAAACAGGGACAGTTTGACCTCATCTTTTCCAACCTGGATGCTCTTTATTTCCTTCTCTTGCCTAATCGTTACTATGTTATATTGGAGTGGTGAAAGTGGGCATCCTTGCCTTTTTCCGGTTATGAAGGGAAAAGCTTTTCCCCATTCAGGGTGATATTGGCAGTGGGTTTGCCTTTTATTGTGTTGAGATACTTTCCTTCTATACCTAATTTGCTGAGTCTTTATCTTATCATGAAAAGATGTTGAATGTTGTCAAATGCTTTTTCTGTGCCTATTGAGATAATCATATGGTTCCTGTCCTTGGTTTTGTTGATGTGATGTATCTCATTTATTGATTGCATATGTTGCCGTCCTTGCATCCCTGGGATGAATCCCACTTGATCATGATGTATAATTTTTTTGATGTGTTGCTGTATTTTGATTGCTAATATTTTGTTGTGGATTTTTGTGTCGATGTTCATCAGAGATATTGGCCTGTACTTTTCTTTTTTTGTTATATCTTTTCTGGTTTTGGTATCAGGGTGATGCTGGCCTCATAGAATGAGTTTCAGAGAATGGTCTCTGTTTCAATTTTTTGGAATAGTTTGAAGAGAATTGGTATTAATTCCTCTTTAAAGGTCTGGTAGATATCATCAGTAAAGCCATCCAGTCCTGGGCTTTTCTTTGTTGACAGACTGCTGGTTACTGCTTCAATCTCATTGCTTGTTACAGGTGTGTTCTGGTTTTCTATTTCTTCTTGGTTCAGTTTTGGTAGTCTGTATGTGTCCAGAAATTTATCCATTTCCTCCAGATTTTCGAATTTGTTGGCATACAGTTGTTTATAATAGTCACTAATGATTCTTTGTATTTCTGTGGTATTGGTTACAATGTCTCTTTTTTCATTTCTATTTTTGTTATTTGTGTCTTCTCTCTCTCTTTTTTTTTCTAAGTTAGCCTAGCTTGTGGCTTATCTATTTTTTTTTTCCTTTTTGTCTTTTTATTTGTCTTTTTTCTGTGTCCGGCAACGGATCGCAACCCTCAGTGTCGCCCCCGTACCGGACCGGGGACCGGCAACAGAATCGCAACCCTCGGTGCTGCTCCCGCGCCTCGCTCAGCCAGTGAGCGGGAACCGGTCTGTATGTGGGATCTGAACCCTCGGCGGGAGCGCCACCACACTTCCCAAGCGGCGCACTATAGCAGTGCGCCACCGGGCCAGCCCGTGGCTTATCTATTTTGTTTATCTTTTCTAAAAACTAACTTTTTGTTTCATCAATCTTTTGTATCATTTTTGGTGTTTCTATCTCATTTAGTTCTGCTCTGATCTTGTTTTTTTTCCATCTACTATTTTTGGGATTGGATTTTTCTTGTCTTTCTAGTTCTTTGAGTTGTAGCATTAGGTTGTTTATTCAAAATCTTTCTATTCTTTTGATGTAAGCATTTATTGCAGTAAACTTCCCTCTTAGTACTGCTTTTGCAGTATCCCACAGGTTTTGGTATGATGTGTCTTTATTATCACTAGTTTCAAGAAATATTTTAATGTCCTGTTTAATTTACTCTTGGATGCATAGGTCTCATAGGTCATTCAGGAGCATGTTGTTTAATTTCCATGTGTTTGTATAGCTTCCTGAATTTCACTTGTTATTGATTTCTAGTTTCAATCCATTGTGGTCTGAAAAGATACTTGAAATTATTTCAATTTTAAAAAATTTGTTGAGACTTGATTTGTGACCAAACATGGTCTATCCTGGAGAATGTTCTATGTGCTAATGAGAAGAATGCATATTCTATGGTTGTTGGATGAAATGTTCTACAGATATCTGCCAGGTCTAGTTGGTTTAAAGTTTAGTTTAGGGCCGGCCCATGGCTCACTCAGGAGAGTGTGGTGCTGATAACACCAAGGCCATGGGTTTGGATCCTATATAGGGATGGTGGGTTCCCTCAATGTCTGAGTGTGGTGCTTACAACATCAAGCCAAGGGTTAAGATCCCCTTACTGGTCATCTTTAAAAAAAATAATAATAATAAAAAATAAAGTTTAGTTTAAATCCTGTGTTTCCCTGTTGATTTGTTGCCTAGATGATCAGTCCAATGCTGACAGAGGGGTGTTCAGGTCCCCTACTATTACTGTATTTTGGTCTATCTCTTTCTTTAGCTCTAATAGTGTTTGCTTTATATATCTGGTTCCTGCATTGTTGGGTACATACATATATTTGGTTGTTATGTCTTCTTGTTGGATAGATCCCTTTATCATTATATAGTGGCCTTCTTTGTCTCTTTTTGTGGTTTTTGGTTTAAAGTCTGTTTTATCCAATATAAGAATAGCTATTCCTGCTCATTTTTGCTTTCTGTTTGCATGGTATATCTTTTCCATCCCTTCATTATTAGTCTGTGTTTCTTTACAGGTGCAGTGAGTCTCTTGAAGATCACACATAGTTGGATCTAGCTTTTTAATCCAATCAGTCAGTCTGTGTCTTTTGAGTGGGGAGTTTAATCCATTTACATTTAGGGTTGTTTTGAAAGGCAGTGTTTCACTTCTGGCATTTTATCAATTTTCATTTGGATGTTTTAAATATCTTTTGTCCCTTTCTTCCTCTTTTATTGTTTGTCTTTGATGCTTCTCAGTTTTTTGTGGTGGTAAGATTTAGTTTCTTTCTCTTTCTCATTTGGATTTTTGTTCTACCAGTGGGTTTTGTTCTTTCTTGTGTATTCGTGGTAGTGATTATCATTTTTCAGATTCCAGATGCAGGACTCCCTTGAGGATTTCTTGCAGGACTGGTCTTGTGGTGGTGAACTCCCACAGTTTTTGTCTTGAAAATACACTATTTTTCCCTCATTTCTGAAGAACAGCCTTGCCAGGTATAGTATTCTTGGCTGGCAGTTTTTTTATTTTGCTATTTTGAATATATCATCCCCTTTTCTTCTGGCCTATAGAGTGTCTGTTGAGAAGTCTGCTGTGAGTCTGATAGAGACTCCCTTATAGGTGACTTGACGCTTTTCTCTTGCTTCTTTTAAGATTCTCTCTTTGTCTTTGAGCTTTGCTGGTTTGACTATAATGTTTCTTGGAGAGGGTCATTTGGGGTCGAATCTGTTTGGAGATCTTTGGGCCTCCTGGATCTGAAGGTCCATGTCTCTCCCTATACCTGAGAAGTTTCCCATTATTATTTAATTAAATAGGTTTTCCATGCATTTTCAACTCTCCTGCCCTTCTGGAACACCCATGATTCAAATGTTTGTGTGCTTATGGTTGTCTGCTAGCTTCTCAGATTTTCTTCATTTTTTAAAATTCTATTTTTCCTTCTTTTTGTCCACCTATGTTATTTTGAAAAGACTATCTTCAAGATCAGAAGTTCTTTCTTCTGCTTGTTCTAGACTGCTGCTTAAGCAATCATTTTATGTGTTTTATATTTTATTGAATCTTTCAGTGCCATAAGTTATGCTACATTCTTTTTTATGGTGTTCTTTGTAAAATTTCTCCTTCATATCCTGGATTTGTTTTTCTCATTTCGTTATGTTGTCTACCAGTCTTCTTGTATCTCAGTAAGTTTCCTTAAGATTGTTGCTTGGAATTCCTTTTCAGTCATTTCAAGTGTTTCCTTTTCTAGAGGGTCTAGTATTTGAGAATTACTGTATTCTTTTGGTGGTGTTTTATTTTCTTGGATTTTTGTATTTCTAGTATATCTACATTGATGTCGGTCATCTGATAGAGCAGTTGCTTTTTCTACTACTCTGGAGCAGGCTTTGAGGAGAGAGACTTCCTGTTCTTTTTCAGGTCTCCACTGGTGACTCTCCTTGTGTCAATGTAGTCAAGTGTATGGAAGGCCACCTGCATGGTGGCTGTAGCTACCATGGTGGTGGCAAGCCACTTTTGTGGCAGGTGTGGCTGTGGTGGCTGTGGTGGGCTGCCCACATGGAAGTTTTCAGTGGGCTCCTGCATAGAACCCCTTGCATACTCCTGCCTTCTGCCAAGTGATGGGGGCTGCCTGCAGCTCTGCCTAGGGCCGTGTGTGTGTGCTCCTGTGGTGTTTTTGGTGTGCTCCTTGCCTGCTTCTGTGCAGTTGGGGCTGCCCTCAGTGTTAGCACCTTTATCAACTGGAAGACCTTTGGTTTAAAAAAAAGGTTGCTATTACCTGTCACACTCAGTGATCTCAATCATTCTTAACTTTTAATATTTTTCTCTTTTGCAACCTAGGGATTCCACATACCCCAGCTGAGCCTCATTGTTCCTGAACTGCATTGGTTAAAATTACCCAAACTTGGATTTCATAGGAATACTTTTATTGTTGCATCTGTCACACCAAGTAATTGGGGCCAGCTGGATGACAGGATGCGCGTGGTTACCATTGTGATTCTTCTCTGCTTTTGCAAAGCTGCTGAGCTGCGCAAAGCAAGCCCTGGGGGTGTGAGAAGCCGAGAGAATCATGGCCGGGTGGGTGGAGGCCGAAGAGGCTCTAACCCAGTCAAACGCTATGCTCCAGGCCTCCCCTGTGACATGTACATGTATCTCCATGAGAAATACTTAGATTGTCAAGAAAGAAAATTACTTTATGTGCTGCCAGGCTGGCCTGAGGATTTGCTGCACATGCTATTAGCAAGAAACAAGATCCGCATATTGAAGAACAACATGTTTTCCAAGTTTAAAAAGCTGAAAAGCCTGGATCTACAACAGAATGAGATTTCCAAAATTGAGAGTGAGGCATTTTTTGGTTTAAACAGACTTACCACACTCTTACTGCAGCATAACCAGATCAAAGTCTTGACAGAGGAGGTGTTCATTTACACGCCTCTCCTGAGCTACCTGCGTCTTTATGACAACCCCTGGAGCTGTACTTGTGAGATAGAAACCCTGGTTTCCATGTTGCAGATTCCAAGAAACCGGAATTTGGGGAGCTATGCCAAGTGTGAAAGCCCAGAAGAACTAAAAAATAAAAAATTGCGGCAGATAAAATCTGAACAGTTATGTAATGAGGAAGAAAAGGAAGAATTGGACCCGAGACCCCAAGTGTCAGGCAGAGCCCCAGTCATCAAGCCTGAGGTAGATTCAACTCTTTGCTACAATTACGTGTTTCCCATACAAACACTGGACTGCAAAAGGAAAGGTTTGTACATTTCTTATTTTTTCATTTTCATGGATGATTAAAAATGCTCTGTGAATCTGATAATATTCCGTACACCCCATTGTGCCTTGGAATTTCTGATGTCACTTCCACTTGAAATCTTTCCCCAATGACAGTGGAATTTACTTTAAGCCTTTCAGGAGTCCAGACTCAAGATGGCTGGTGATTAGGGACAGCAGAGGAGGGAAGGAAGTATCCTCAGGAGGGGCAACCATTTTGATCCTACTCATTTGCTCATTGCAAGCTGTGGCTGTAAGGAATTCCTTTCATCTTAAATCCAATTTAATTTATGTAGGTAAATCAATGAGTATGAATACAAGTGTGAAGGCCATCTATATAACCTGATTCACACCAGTTAAAATCAAAATGTGGTGTGCATCTGTGGGGAGATAACCTCAAGAAAAAACATCTGCAGAAGAGAACCAGTGAGAGCACTCTGACGCAGAGGCCAAGCAGGATGTGGTGACAGGGCTTCTGTATTTCTTGTCATTTAGTCCCAAGGTTTTAATAAATGCTTGCTAACATTCGGTATCTTAATTGTTCCCCAAATTATCCAGAATAAAACAAAAAAATTAAAGAACTAAATTTAAAATATTTAATCCAAGAACTAAGACTAAGGAAAGCTTTCTAGAGTATTATTGAATTGTTATAAATCATTACTGGGTTTTACATCACACACATTCTGGTGCTAGTACTGTGCAAGATTTGCACAAACAGGATAAATTCATGAACTAAGAAAACAGATGGGAGATTTTAGTAATGCTCTTGACATATTAGTGAAGACTGTTCTCAAAGTGTGGTCTGGGAACTGCTAATCTACCTTATGATAACAAGCCATATGACAAATTCTATGTGTTTCATTTCTGGCATCGTTTAATAATTTATTTGCAATATTAAAGCTAGATGTCATATAGAATATAATAGCATTCCTTTCATGTATTTTGGGAAGTTTTGCTTTGTTTTGTTTCTTTGAAGGCAAGAGAAAGGGAAGCTTCAGAGAACCAAGAGAATAGTAGGAAGGAATTTAATGTCAACCTGAGCCAGGAGTAAATTTGCTCATTTATCAGCAAAATTGTGCTCAAGCCTTGTGCCTAACTCTGAAGGTGGCACCTGGTTAGATCACACCACAGACATGTGGCATGGAAATGTTCACTTACTAAGACACCTGTGAACTATGTATAATTTGATGCCATAGTGGAGCAGTTACAGCATTCATAACCTGAGACGCGCCATTCTAGGCTTCTCTGAATTTGAGAGAAAGTGCTCATTAATTGAAAACCTACTGTGCTCCAGGTACCCCACACACATGCTATCCACAATTCCAGGATGGTAGTAGCATCCCCATTTACAGATGATGAAAAAGGCGCTCAGGGAGGGTCAGTCACTTGGCCAAGGCCTCACAGGCAAGCAGCTAAGCTAAGATCTGAACATTCGTTTACCTAACCCAAAGCCTATGAGGTTTCTACTTCATCTGCTGTCTTCTAGAATTAATCTGACCATGTTCAAACAAGCAGCTGCCTCAACAATGCAAGCACTAGAGAATTCCAGAAGAGTCAGTAAATGTAGTTTCTCTGTAGCCAGATCAGGTAGAATTTCCCTGATATTATTATGGTGAGTACTTAGTGCTGCATGCTTCACGTTTTACTAGGATGTCCTTTGTGATGCTTAAATTAAAAACTGGAATTTTATATTTTTAAAACCAAAAAAAGCTACTCTCCTAGATTTGGGTTAGAATACTTGATGTTGCTGAGGTTCTACTCTCAAACTAAAGTGAATTTGCACTTGCTGCATCAGGTGTCAAAGGGAAAAGTAGGCAAGATTAAGTTCATGAGTTATCTGAGAAAGATATCTTCTACACAAAATTTAAGACTTCTACAGCTAGACTACACTTGCTCTATGAAGAGATAACATGTTAGGAAATATCTTTCTTTTTTACTGCTTGCATACTCTTGGGCCATTCCCTTCCACAGTGAACCAATTTCTGCTTTTGTGTTTTGTTCCTTGTTTTTTTTGTTTTTGTTTTTCCCATGATATTTTTCCCTTTTTCTCTTGGAAAACATCAGGTTATAAAAATATTTTTTTTATTGTTTTCTTTCCTTAACTTATTGTTGTCTAAACACAACCTTCCAGAAATGGTCCACATAAATGTATCCCCCCCCCCCGCCTTAAAAATACACGTATTATTTACTGGAACACAATATAAAATTTCATGACATACACACTTAGTATATGCAATATTAGATCATATATTAAAAGACAACTCAAGTTCCTCCAAATGTTAATGACTATGTAATTCAGAGCCTATACTTTTAGATTAGAAGATGAAGGGTAGTTTTGTCTTTTAATATCATCAATATAAATGGCTTTCACTGTTGTTCTCATAAATCTATTATTGACTCATTTGATCATTTATTTTTCATTTTTCTGTTATATTGTCAATTCCCATAAGTTTAAAGGCAAAGGGAGCTGGCCAGATAGCTCAGTTGGTTAGAGCACAGTGTTGTAACACCAAGGTCAGGGGTTCAGATCCCCATACTGGCTACTGGACAGCCGCCACAAAGGAAAAAGAAAAAGAAAAAGGCAAAGGTCTTGTCTATTACAGTCTCTTTGGTTGTACCTGGCACAGGACCACATGCTTTAGAGTGATACTAATTGAGTTTCCTTTCTTTGCTCTTTCAAAGCAGTAACTTTTGATTGCATTTTGTGTTGAATGTGTTAATTTTCCTGAACTGAGCATCACATATGGTACATAAGTATTGATGTTCAATGCTGTACCTCACAGATATGTACAATCAATTATGTATCAAATAAATAAATAGATAAAGAAATAAAAGTATATAGAAATTGAAAATCATGGCTAGAATTCAAGCATGACAAACCGAATCCAATCCACTCTAATTTTCCTTATTTCATCCTATAAATGGGTAACAAATGTACAAATACCTAGAATAAATATTCAGTAATGTTCATCTCTAGCTCCCTGCTGGAATGTAGTAATACTTTTGATTATTGTGCTCCACACGTTAGACACCATGTAGAATCTAAAGAAGCCTAAAACATGCTACCAAGAGAGGAACTGGTGGTGATATTATATAAGAGCTACCATCTAAATGCTCTGTGGCCCTGAGACACAGCAGTTTATATGCATTATGTCATTTATTCCTCAAAACCTTTTTAAAAGTACTACTATTATCCTCATTTTACAAATGAGGAAACTGAAGTGTAGTGAAGTGAAGTAACCCTTCAAAGGGCACATAGGCAGTCAGTAATCCAGTTTCTAAGCCATTGACTACTGTTCAATGCCATTTCTCCCTTAAGATTCTAAGTGTCACTATTAGCTAAGAAGAATTTGTACATGCCTTATGTGTGCTAGCTCCCAGTACTGAGACCTCTTCTTCAGCTCTGAATGAGTATACCACGTACACGATCACACACAGGGAGCCTGCACACAGATTCCCCTAACTTGGGAGTTGAGCCTTTCCTAGCTGACTTGGAATGAGTTGGATGGTGTGTGTAGGGTATCTAATGTGTACCAATTTGACCACAGACCTCAAAGATGACTATTTTTGCCTTAAACATCTGACAGCAAGAAGAATAAATAATAGCTTTAATCACTGAGGGACAGGCACTTTGCCAACAAAACTTAGTCTTTCAAAGGGAATAAATGTGGGATTAGTTGAAGGCATGTTTATGCCATATTGAGGTACATGAATTTGCCAAGAATGTATGAAAGTAAGAGTTTTTAAAGCTGCTTTTAGCTTCACATTTACCAGAATGACTAAAAATTAAGGAGTCATTTTACTTCTAAGATCAGGCTGGAGAGAATTATGCTGGTAAATTCTCCCAGCTGCCACTGAAGTTAAGGGCACAATTTTACCCCTTGTTTGAACAATAGTTAAGAATTTTTTATTTGCAATAAACAGGTCGATTTATGTCTCTACCTACTACTACCAATCCTTCAGAGTAGTTCTGAGGTTGCTGACAACCAAGATAGCCTAGTTAATGGGAAAATTACATGGAGAAAATTTCCCAATTTCCTTCTCAAAATCAGCGAGGTTTGCCTGGGGAAAGGGCAAGGCTTATAAAGGGTGATAATTAAGTAAATGTGGTGCATTTAACAAGAATTTCAGGTAGTCCTTAATATGAAATATGCATGCCATGTGGTGTCTGGTCATGAAATGTCTATGTGTATGCTCTTTATCAAAGTCAACAGTACTTTACATTGATATTTCTCATTCAAGTTCTAAGGTAAAAGAACACAAAAAACAAAAAAGAATTGTTTTTATTCATCAGTACAACAAATAAGATTTTTCCATCTTTTTCTAAGCCACTCTAGTAATGGCTTTGATTTGCATTTCCTGGTGTTACTTGTGGATCCTATTTTTACCCAGGGCTGCTGCTGACAACCCCAAAGTTGGTCCTGCAATTCATATTATTTTTCCAGTATCCACAGGTCTGCCACATTGCTTAAGCTGGGCTTCAGTATTTTCATAAACATTTTTTTCTACCCATTTATTTGTGGTTAACCCACATAAGCTTGCCCTCTAGTGGTTGCTCTGTCATTCCCCCTCATGTCCAGCCCAGCAGATGTGGGTTCAGCAAACAAGTTCGGCTTTCTAGAACCTAGGACGTGCTGATAATGGCTTTTAGGGCCTCAGTGAGGAGGACTCTTGGCTTCTATTCGTAGCAAGACGGGAAGCAGTTGGAGGATTCTGCCATCTGCAGATGGGAAGCCAACTGGAAAAGTGACATGATCTGATCAGGATCAAGATGCACCAAAAAGGCGTAACTATTAGTGAAAACCACAGGAATGGGAAGGCAGGGAAGGCATGGAAGACGACACAGCAGTTTGATTTGTTTTGTTTTGGCTTTTTAAAAAGCTTCCCAGGTGATTCTAATAGGTAACCAGGATTGAGTTCCACAGCTTCACCTGATGACTCAGCCAACAAAGCTGCACCACCTGCTGGGCTTTCTCTTGACTTCCTGCTACTTCTTCTAGGAAGCTTCTCGGAACAGCTCAGCAAGGAGTGATATTCCCTCCTATGGGCGTGATGCACTCGATTCGCTGGGCTTTGACCGGGTTTAGCACATGCCAAGGCTTTCTTTCCAACTTTCCAACATGCCAAGGCTTTCATACCAACTTTCTTTGGCTTTACTATCCCTTTCCCCTTTATCTTTAAGAGCTGATTCTTCAACCACACAGGTGCAACAGTGATAGAGAAAATGTGGCAAGAGCATGATAACCTAAATATTATTAATTTTTCCAGAGCTGAAGAAAGTTCCAAACAACATCCCTCCAGATATTGTTAAACTTGACTTGTCATACAATAAAATCAAGCAACTTCGACCCAAGGAATTTGAAGATGTTCATGAGCTAAAGAAATTAATCCTCAGCAGCAATGGCATTGAATTCATAGATCCTGGTAAGCTCCACTGAATAGCCCCTTCAATGGGTGACCGATGCTTTATGATTGTTTTCCCCATGGCAACATTTACAATAAATTTAGTTAAACTAAGTTAATAAAGCATGAATTTTAACATGACACTTAAATTGGGACTTGTCTGACACTCAGAAAAATTTGCCAAAATGTTGCTTTATGAATTATGTAATACAGTATATTACTAACATTTTTAAATTAGCTAAAACAAAGTTTTTAGAATACATTTAAAAAACAATATGTAGCAAGGGGTCAATACTATGCTATACATGTTGTGATTTTTAAAGGAAAATTTTCTTTGCTATTCATTAAGCTCCAACTTATTTAGAGTAAATTTGAAACAAACTTTTAAGCACCAAGCTCATAAGTTAAAATAAAATGTGCTTAAACCAGAACCAGATATATTATGCCTAATCCTAGCATTGGGCTAGGGCCCACAGACCCTTCAAATCCATTGTAAAGACTGGGTCACAAGCCCCTCACATGCAGTTCCATGAGCTAGGTAATAGGAAAAAGATCGTGGGAGCCATGGGTAAAAATTAATAGGCTTTATTCAAGCTCAGGTAGCTAGCAGCAACCGCAGCAGCCCTAGTGGCCTCCCAGGGCGTCCTGAGGGCACTGCGGATCAGAGCCCTATGTCCTTTAAACTTTGCGAGTCAGATAACCGAAGAACACTTGGGTGTACATGCACAATTACATCAGACAATAAACAAGCAACACTTGGGTGCACATGTGCATGTTTACATTAAACAGGCTAGGTCATGCTGGGCAAGATTCCGAACATCCGAGGAATCCTGACTATTTATATTTCAATTATCCTTACACCTAGATCAAAATCAATTCTTTTTTCCATCCTTCAGATCTCTTCTCTATTTGATAAGCAAAGCCTCTTGCAAAAAATGAGCTTGATAAATTAAGTAAACACACTGAACTTGAAAAGAAATGATAATTACTGCAATATTGATCAGATTTGTAACATACATAATATATGTGCCTTCACGATGCTACTTCAATTTGAAAAGTTCTAACTATAAAAATTATTATTAATACTGTTAATAATGCAATGTAATGTTATAAACATTTTGAGTACCATGTAATATTATAAACAATTGTTTCTCCTGCTCTTCTTAATAGTAATCTAATACCATTAACAGAACAATGGATTTTAACATGATAGAAGTAAAAGTTAGAATGAACATTCTGGAGCCACAAAAACATATTTTAGTATTGACACTTTAAAATATTAGGAAATCATCGTTTAAGAAATTTCTCAAGGGGACAGCAGTATGCTACACTTACACCTCACCCTGTACACATAGCGGGAGCATCTTTGAATTATGAGGTCAAAAGCAATCTTCATTTCACAGTAAACCAGAATACTATAGAGATATCCTTCTCCTAAATGAAGTGGTCATTACGTTAGCTTGCATCTGAGTCACTGGAGCATTCTGCACAAGGACAGGCCACAGGTGGAAGAATTTGGAGGTGGAGGCCCTCTCTTGCCCCTGAGAACTGCAGGATAAGCACGCCATGCCAAAGGTCCCTGGGCAAATGTCTAATTTCCTTCCAATGCAGTCATCTAAAACCATAGCTTACCAACTATCAGAAGTATCGATGGGAACAAGTTTTAGAGCTCTCTCTAAAAGAGACTAAAACATTAGCATTAGATGGAGTTATTAAACAGCCTAAGTTAGATGCATTAAAGTAGCGAATAATAGTACAACGAAGTTTTAGTTATAATAGAACTACAGTATGTCAAGAAAACTAGCGAAAAATGAGAGATGTCAATGCAAAGAGAGAGATAATGGTGCAGAATGGATTTGTTTTGCTTCTAGTGATGTTTTTCTCTCATCAGTTACAAAATTCCCATAATTGCGAGATTCCTCTTTCATCTTTGGAATCTTCTGAAGGCCTTTTAATCTTGTTCACCCAATGTTTTTTCCCTGCTGTCACATAACATGATCTCTGCTATCATCAGTGGTACTTTTATTTTTTCTTTCTTTCTTTGCTCAATTCAGTCCCAGGAAACTATTTTCTATATCAACAAGTATGTATTGAGTACCTACCAAATGCCAAGCACTTTCCTTGGTATGTCTTCTGGAACAAAAAAAGTACTCAGCACTTAAATAAGGTAAAATGAACAAAAGAAGTTTTAAAATAAAAGTCCCTCTATATTGCAGAGTCTTTGAGATGAAACACTGCCAAAGCAGACTGACTCTAATGATCTGTGCTGGAGGTACGCAAATGCAGTGACAGTTGCCAGACTTCAATCAAAAGACGTGAATAACAATCTCACAAAATGTCAGACATTGTGGAAAAGAGAAAGAAGCCACCCTACTAGGGGTTTTACCTCCTTTAAGAAACAGATGAAAACTAGCTTTCCCAAGTGTGCGAATACATATGGTTTAACTAACAACTACAGCACTTTCAAAATAAAATGTAGGAATGTTTACACATGCTTTCAATCTGAAGGGCTGACTTGTTTTAAGAAAAGCACATTTGTGAGATTATTGACTCATAATTTTAGCAAATAGAGAAAAAATGCAATGTCTTCAGAACTATCATCACAAGGGCTGACCTTTTGTCCCTCACCCCCACCTCCATGCCATTGCTTTGCACCAAGAAAGAAAGTATTCTTTTTTAGGAGGAATTACAAGTTTTGTCTGGGAACAGATTATATGAAAATAGTTCATGGCATTGGTATGACAGCATATTTTCCAAATTCAAAATAAGGACACTATGCTCTAACAAGGGTATTTCAAAGCCGTAATGAGAAAATGCTTGAAATAGAAACAGTATTTGAAATCAGAATTGACCCATAAATTCTGGGGTACCTGGTCAGGCCATATCAACTGACATAGGAGTAGTCTAGGTGTAGATTTCTTTGCTCTTGGAGTGGAGACAAATGCTTTTTGTTGTTTTATTTTGTGTTATGTGTTTGATGTTTGTTCTAATTATCCACCCTCCAGAAAAATTAAATACATATGGATTCAAAGCTGATAGCTACCATAGCTTGCCAAAACACAACCAGATGTTTTCAAAATGTTGGTAAAAATGGTTAGGTTTTGGATTATACAGGGATAGAATCCCTTCACCCCCAAAACTGGGAAAAAGTTGTTTCCTAGGCATTTTCAGACTTTACTGATATCCCGGGGAGCTGTCAAATCATCACCAGGCACGAACATTTTTCATATTTTTCTGCACTTATGTCTTACATTTGAGATATTTTCCTTAATTCATACCTCATTTTTGTGGCATCTCTCCAGGAAATACTTTAAAAAGCACATGAGCCCAAAATACGTTGCTTAAAATCTAATTTAAAGCTGATTCTTTTTCAAATAAAATATTGTATTCTAGTCCATCTAATCAAGGGGAAAGATTTGAGTAAAAATATATTTCAGCATTTTGCATTTAGATATGTATACAATGGGGAAATATAATTAAAAACGAAATCTCCGCCCAACCCAGAAATCCTCTCAACAAAGGTAGTAGAGAAAGAAAATGCTTTCATTAGTGGATAAGCATTAAACCAGAATGTGATGCACATCACAGACAATCCACTAAGAGACTACAAAGACAGAAAGAAATCTCACCCCTTAGACAGCCAAGCAGATACTACCTATTACATATACGTTTTCAAGATAAGATAAAAGACTAGTCCTCAAGTAAGAGGACTTGACAATACCTTTCGTCACACATAGTTCATCCTAACTTTAGCTAGTAACTGGGGTGACCATCTCTGTTAGCTAATTGTCTTTATCGGGAGAAAAACAAACTCCTTCTATCTTTATGACCAGGGTGATTTTGCAGCTAGAAGCAAAGCCCCACCAAAGTCAGGCTCCTACTCTCCCACAGAAACTGGGAGATAGGGGGCATTGTGTTCCTAGATGTTTACATTTCAAAGAGATAGCTCCCAGGTCCTTGAGAAAGACACTCCTAGGTCAGAAGGGTGACAAAAGCCTATGCAGTCGTCAAAAGGATTGAAAGACATTAAAAGACGTGAAATTACTTATAATCACAAGTTTTCTAAAGTACATGCTCTGAGAAAGAGGATGGAAGGGATATCTCTTCCTTTATTTTCAACAGGGAGAATTAAGCCTCCTATTTTAATTTGTCCTTATGATATACCATATAAGTTACATTAACTCAATTACTCATTGGTGTAATAAATATTTTCTGTTTCTAGCTGCTTTTTTAGGGCTCACACATTTAGAAGAGTTAGATTTATCAAACAACAGTCTGCAAAACTTTGACTATGGAGTATTAGAAGACTTGTATTTTTTGAAACTCTTATGGCTCAGAGATAACCCTTGGAGATGTGACTACAACATCCACTACCTCTACTACTGGTTAAAGCACCACTACAATGTCCATTATAATGGTCTGGAGTGCAAAATGCCTGAAGAATACAAAGGGTGGTCTGTGGGAAAATATGTTCGGAGTTACTACGAAGAATGCCCCAAAGACAAGTTACCAGCGTACCCTGAGACTTTTGACCAAGATGCAGAAGATGATGAATGGGAAAAAATACATAGAGATCACACGACAAAGAAGCAAAGTGTGAGGATCACTATAGTGGGATAACTTAGAAATTGTTCTGGTTGTAACTAGTTTTGTATTTGCTGTACTGGCGTCAAAAACTATGTTTACATTTTGATTAACTGTGTTGCCTATTTATGCAGGGTTATCCAGCTAAAGGAAGCTTTCTTTAAGTATTATAATAATAATTATTATTATTGTGACAATATTATAGTAATCAAGGGAATACTCTCATCCTGCTTGCCTGTATATTCGCAGAGCAGCCTTTGGTGATACAAGATTCCACACCAGTGACCCACAGGAGGTGAGTCCTAATGATGGCATTAGAATTTCATAATGTCCTGTATAAATGTTTTTACTGCTTTTTGAAAATAAAAAAATAAAAACTTGATTCATTTTTACATGCCTTTTGAAAGCTGTTTGTACATACCTAAAGATAATCAAAATGAAAAGATACAAATGTCATTCCCTCCTCCTGCCCCTCTGCTTTTTTTTCAGTAAGCGAACTTATGCATTAAATAAATTTCCATTTATGATTCCTGTACATTCTAAGATTAGGTCCTGGTAAACCCAAATTCCTAACTACGCTTCACTGATCTTTGCAACACACTGTCAAGCTAAACCTGAGGGAGAATTGTCATAAGCAAATAAGTAGAGAATAGGAGAATTCTACTGGAAGCTGGTCAGAATATGGGACTGAGAGAAGCAATTGTAGCTGGTATGGATCACGAGCCCTGAAGAGATATAAACACTAATGAACGTGGAAACAGCATTGGTTTTCTTGAGCAGGGTTCAGGCTAGAAAGCCACCTGGCAATGGAGAAGGTCCTGAGCACTTCCTGCAAAGCTAATATGTCAAGGAGCATAAAAGGAAGGATTAAATTAGGAGTCAGGGCCAGAATTTGGGATGCAGCCAAAACAAAAAACAGGAAATATTAAGAGGCAACTGAGGGAGGGGCTGGTGCCCAAGAGAAACTCCATGATTTGAGTTTGCAAGTTAAAATGAGCTCACCTAGAGAAACAGATCACCAGAAAAAGGGAAATAGGTTTAGAAGTTAAATACTGACCCCATCAGCTTACATTTACTTAGTTGTACCCTACATAGAAAAAGAAAGTGAAGGGGCCGGCCCGGTGGCGCACTGGATGGTGCGCCGCTTGGGAAGCGCGGCGGCGCTCCCGTCCGAGGGTTCGGATCCCACATACGGACCGGCTCCCGCTCACTGGCTGAACGAGGCGCGGGAGCAACGCCGAGGCTTGCGATCCTGTTGCTGGTCCCCTGTCCGGTACAGGGGCAACACTGAGGGTTGCGATCCGTTGCCGGACACGGAAAAAAGACAAAAAAAAAAAAAAAAAAAAAAAAAGAAAAAGAAAGTGAA